CACAATGCTAGAGTCTGCATACATCCTCACCCTGTAATTAACTATTGCTAGTGTAATAGGGTTCTCACCTCCAAAAAATCATTTTTCTTTTTTTTTGAGACAGTGTCTTGCTCTGTCACCCAGGCTGGAGTGCAGTGGTATGATCTTGGCTCACTGCAACTTCCACCTCCCAGGTCCAAGCTATTCTTCTGCCTCAGCCTCCAAAGTAGCTGGAACTACAGTCACGCACCACCACACCCGGCTAATTTATGTCTTTTCTTTTTTTTTTTTTTTGAGACGGAGTTTCACTCATGTTACCCAGGCTGGAGTGCAATGGCGCGATCTCGGCTCACCGCAACCTCCGCCTCCTGGGTTCAGGCAATTCTCCTGCCTCAGCCTCCTGAGTAGCTGGGATTACAGGCACGCACCACCATGCCCAGCTAATTTTTTGTATTTTTTTAGTAGAGACGGGGTTTCACCATGTTGACCAGGATGGTCTCGATCACTTGACCTCGTGATCCACCCGCCTCGGCCTCCCAAAGTGCTGGGATTACAGGCTTGAGCCACCACGCCCGGCCAATTTATGTCTTTTTAATAGAGATGTGATTTTACCCTGTTGGCCAGGCTGCTCTCAAACTCCTGACTTCGTGATCCACCTGCCTTGGCCTCCCAAAGTGCTGGGATTACAGGCGTGAGTCACCACACCCGGCAAAAAGATTCTTTTAAGGAGTTTATGTTTTTCTGATTTTCAAAGGGACTGCTCTACTGAATCATTGAATTCTGTTGAGTATTCAAAAATTTTAAACTTTACCTTGGTTTAGTTTGTTTTTTATTTATTAAGGACAATTACATAGCTAATTAGCAGACTACCTGGTACCTAATGATATCTACGTTGAGTTTGTTGTTGTTGTTGTTGTTGCTTTGCAGGTTTTTTGAGACAGGGTCTTATTCTGTCACCCAGGCTAGAGTACAGTAGCAATCAGGGCTCACTGCAGCCTCAACCTCTCAGGCTCAAGTGATCCTCTCACTTCAGTGTCCCAAGTAGCTGGGACCTCAGGCATGGTCTGCCACCACAAGCAGCTAATTTTACTTTTTTGTAGAGACAGAGTCTCCCTATGTTGCCCAGGCTGGTCTCAAATTCCTTGGTTCAGGCATCCTCCTGCCTTGGCCTCCCAAAGTGCTAGGATTACAGGTGTGAGCCACTACACCCAGTCCTAAGTGACTTTTTAAAAGATAAGAGTTACCAAGAATTTGAAACCCTAAATCATTATTACTAGCAGTTGTTAAGCACTTGTTATATGCCATGTAATGTACTAAGGGCATTTATGCTTGATTCATTCATTCAATGTATTCCTATTGTCTGCCTATTCTAGGTCCTGGAGAACAGCAGTTAAGCAAAACAAAATCTTTCATAGAGTTTATATTCCAGCAAGGAAGCAATCAACAATTAAATAAGTCAAATATAAAGCATGTGTGATGAAAATAAGTGTTACAGGGAAGTAAGTGGAGAAGGGAAAGAGTGAGTGACTGTGTGTGTGAAAAGGTCTCATCCAATAAGTGGACAAAAGAGCAGAAGCCTGAAAGAAAGGTGGTCTAAAAGTGGATATCAGTATGGGCAACATGGCAAAACCCCATCTCTACAAAATAAAAATACCAAAAAATTAGCAGGGGGTGGTGGCACACGCCTGTGGTCTCAGCTACTCGGTGATGGGGGTGAGGGTGCTGAGTTGGGTCGACTGCTTGAGAGATGGAAGTTAGAGTGAGCAGAGATTGTGGGAAATTGGAGTGAGCAGAGATTGTACTACCACACTCTGGCCTGGGTGACAGCGAGATCCTTTCTTTTTTTTTTCTGAGATGAGTTTCGTTCTTGTCGCCCAGGCTGGAGTGCAATGGTGCTAATCTTGGCTCAAGGCAACCTCCACCTCCTGGGTTCAAGCGATTCTCCTGCCTCAGCCTCCTGAGTAGCTGGGATCACAGGTACCCACCACCACGCCCAGCTAACTTTTGCGTTTTTAGTAGAGATAGGGATTCATCACGTTGGCCAGTCTAGTCTCGAACTCCTGACCTCAGGCGATCTGCCTGTGTTGTCCTTCAAAAGTGCTGGGATTACAGATGTGAGCCACTGCACCTCACCCAAGACCCTTTCTCACAAAAAAAGAAAAAAGAAAAGAGGCTCTCTGGCACCACTAAAGAACTTACTTGTGTAACCAAATGCCAAGTATTCCCCAAAAACCTATGGAAATAAAAAATTTTAAAAAAGAAAAAGAAAGTGGACGTCTGGGCTAGGTGCGGTGGCTCATGCCTGTAATCCCAGCACTTTGGGAGGCTGAGGTGGGTGGATCACCTGAGGTTAGGAGTTCAATTCCAACCTGGCCAACAAGGCAAAACCCAGTCTTAAAATACAAAAATTAGCCAGGTGTTGTGGCACACACCTGTAGTCCCAGCTATTCGGGAGGCTGAGGCAGAATTTCTTGAACCCAGGAGGCAGGGGCTGCAGTGAGTCGAGATCACACCACTACACTCACACCTGGGCAGCAGAACAAGACTGCATCTCAAAAAAAACAAAAAAGGAAGTGGATTTCTCAGGGATGTTAAACATGGTTATTATGTACTACTCATTGTTTAACTTCTACAACTACACTACTGATACGGTTTGGCTGTGTCCCCACCAAATCTCATCTTGAACTGTAAGTTCCCATAATCCCCATGTGTAGTAGGAAGGACGCAGTGGGAGGTAATTGAATCATGGGGTGGATGGTTTTATAAGGGACTTTTTCCCCTTTGCTTGGCTTTCATTCTCTCTCCTGCCACCCTGTGAAGAAGTGCCTTCTGCCATGATTCTAAGTTTCCTGAGGCTTCCCCAGCCTTGAGGAACTATGAGTCAGTTAAACCTTTTATGTTTATAAATTACTCTGTCATAGCAGCCTGCAAACAGACTAATACAACTATGTAGTACTTTCATTGTTCCCATGTATAGATAAGAGAATGTACAGAGGTAGAAAAATATAAAGAAACTTGCTTGTGGCCATATACTTACATGAGGTAAGCTAAGGTTAGAACCTAGATCTTCCTCACTCACAAGCTGTGCTTTTAATCACCTTCCCTCCCCTCAAATCACCCAACAATCCAATAAAAAGATTTCTATGTGGCCAAATATTAGTACCTCCCTAACAGGATAATCAATTCCAACATTACACTTAAAAAAATTAATTTGAGAGGAAAAAAGTATCTGAGGTTTGGCTCATTAAAATAAATAAGTGAAAAAATTTCTTCCTATTCTCCTGCTGAAGAAAGAATCTAATTGGAGACAGAGCTGACATTTTAAGTCGTGGCTCTTTAGGCACAAAATAACAAGGGATGCCCCAGCTGAAATTGTCTTTCAAAGCAGCAGATTCTGGTCTGCCAGAAGAGGCAGAGAGAGGGAGAGGGAGAGGGAGAGGGAGAGGGAGAGAGAGGGAGAGGGAGAGGGAGGGGGGGGGAGAGAGAGAGAGAGAGAGAGAGAGAGAGAGAGAGAGAGAGAGAATGTGTATTTTTGGACATTTCTATCATCATTTACCTTCAGTTCACCATCTCAGCATCATGGTTGGATGTTTTCATCAGGCTATATAACCAAGCTTTACACAAGGTGTAATTTGCCTAAATAGTGATCCACCCTGGGTGGGAGCAATTGCTTCCAGGACCCAGACCCATATGGCTCCCACTTAGCCATGCGGCCTGCTGACAAAGGGTGGCAGAACTGTCACCACTCTGTTGTCCAGGCTTTCAGTCCTTTGATTTCCTCTTCATGGGCGCTCATGTAAAAAGGGAAGCCACATACCTGTGCATTAAGTGTGCGTCTAAGCATTCAGTGTGTGTCTAAGGGCAGAAGAGTGTGGGTAGGAAACCGGGGACGAGGGAATCTGTGTTCCCCAAACACTCCAGACTTGAATAAGTGGGGTTTTGCAGCAATTGAGTGATTTGAGGGAAAGTGAACATACAAACCCAAGCAATCAAAGGGAAGATTATCTTACTTAATACCAGTGATGCATGCTTTTCTTTCTGCCTCTTAAGTCCAAGGAGGAAAATCAAGACAAGTGGCTTTGGTTGTAAATTTTAAGGTCAAGGATCCTTTCTGTTGAGCTTAGCTCTCAAGTTCTCAGTAGTCAACTGCGTGTGAAACATAATTAATAGCACGATAAACACAAGTTGTGGAAGATTCGACTGAAAGTTGGAGGCCCTCTCCATGGATCTCTCTACAAAAAGCCTGTCATAAAGAGGACTTAATCAACGTTAGCAGGCCTATTAAAAAAAGCATCGTCTATTAAAATCCATTTCTTCTCCAGAGCCTCTTGTTGGAGTTTCTCTGTGTGGGTGTGTTCGTAAGAGAGGAATGGGTGAGCCAGAGTTACTGGGTACAATTTGTGTATCTTCAAGAGAAAACAGAAGCTCTCAATGAGGAAGAACATATGTTTCTGGGACTGCATCTGTGCAAAAAGTACATAGTCCTGAAGTTGTACTAAGAAAAAAAAAACACTCTCTTAAAAAGTCTTTTATTTCACTCATGTCATCTTCTTGGCACATTTCCCTCATATTACCCTTTCCGCCTTAGCAAATAGCCCTTTCTTACCCTCAGGTCCAGGAAAACCAGGAAACGTTTCCAATAGTCCGACAAAGCCTGACTAACCAGACATACTACTCACTCGGGGATCCTGGAGGCAAGTCTCAGTCCAAGAACAGCAGTGACTCTCGAGGGCGCACCTGCCTGCAAGGCAGCCCCTCCCTGCATCAAGCGGAAATTCATCCTGCCCAGCGCTGGGCACGGGCAGAGCGGAGGGCGGCCGCGTCAGGCGGTATCCGCCGGGACTCGGACCACGTGCGCGACCCCGGGCGAACCGCACCCCTCTCCCCACTTCCCCGCGGGCGGGCGGGTTCAACTCGCCAGGTGTCCGCGCGCTCAGCGGGGCCCGCCCCTGCCCGGCCCCGCCCCGCCCCCAGGCCCGAGTGCGCGTGCCCGGCCGGAGCCGCGCCCCTTCCCCAGGGAAGCCCGGGCGTGCGGCCCACGAGCCCGAGCTCGCCCCCTCTCGGGCCTCTCACCGGCGCGGGGGGCGGGCCAGGGGCGGGGCCGGGGCCGGGCGGGGCGGGGCTTGCGCCAGCGCCCCCAGCTCCTCCGCTGCTTCGCCCGCGAGTCCCGAGGCAGTCGAGCGGCTCGGTCGCCCCCACCGGCCCCATGGCAGCCCCCGGCGCCCCAGCTGAGTACGGCTACATCCGTACCGTCCTGGGCCAGCAGATCCTGGGACAACTGGACAGCTCCAGCCTGGCGCTGCCCTCCGAGGCCAAGCTGAAGCTGGCGGGGAGCAACTGCCGCGGCGGCCAGACGGTCAAGAGCCTGCGGATCCAGGAGCAGGTGCAGCAGACCCTCGCCCGGAAGGGCCGCAGCTCTGTGGGCAACGGTGAGTGGAGCCCACGGCTCCCTGGCGCCGCCCCCTGCCCCGCACCCCGTTACCCCCTCCTATCCCACCCTCACCCCGCTTGCTGGGAGGGCAGAACCCCGTGTTCTGCCCACCTGTTGCTCGCCGCCCTCGGTATGACCGGCTTGCTTGTGGAAAGCACTCTTTTCTATAACCTATTACTTAGCTTTGTCATATAGGTACCTATGTATGTTAAATGTTGTACGTATCTGTCAATGTTAAATAACTCACTTGGAAATTTAACCCCTTTCTTTTTCTACTCCGCCTGTCCGCACCCCTCGCTGGTGCGGACTAAATTTGGGGTTTCAGGGAGTCTATCAACACCTTGAGATGCTATGCAGAATTTTGGTATGTACTATCGTTTTCTGGGAGAAAGAGGCCTTCTTCACTTTTATTAGATTTTTTAAATAGTTCATGACCCCCGTAAATATCTTGAAAAAGAAAACCCGACAGCACAGGCGCTCCTACAACCTGTAAATTGGGATTGTGCTGTCTTGTGCAAGTACTTCGGGGCGCTCCAAGTGTAGGAGGCGAGTGGTGGATCTAAGGAGTGAAAAAAGTGGCTAGGAGGCTTGGGTCCTGGGAACAAACACGCCCAGGAGAAAGGGGACTTTGGCCCTGCCGGCAACACCCCTACCCTCCCGGCTGCGCTTCCCACCCCCACCAATGCGGGCGTGGTGCAAGGCTGATCCCTCCAAAAAATTAAACATGGAGGTGAAAGAGGTGTAAGCACTCACACGCACACTATGTTTGCGATTGATAGACGGGGGAGGTGGAAGGGCAAGAAGATGGCAAGCCACTTGTGAAAATTAGGGTACATGATGTATCCTTTTCTCCTCAGCTAAAGTCAGGTGATCAGATCAACTCAGTAACTCTTGTTTTACTTGTTGTGTGTGTGAGTTTGCATTATAAAAGCTCTATGTTGGCTTATTATAGCAAAAAATTTAAAAAAAAAAAGGAAAGAAATTGAGTAATTAAGTTGGAATATCTGTTTCTTCCATGTTCAACTGTTTCTGTATGAAGTAATTTGTGCATTGGCCAACGTAGGCTAACCCATTCTAATTTCTATTAGGAAAACAGAAAAATCCTAACAGGCCAGACCACAGTTTTAAAACAGCAGAGTCTGGGAGGCAATACTGTTTTTATAAAAGAATCCTAAAGAATCAGGTAGTCAATGATTACATATTAGAAAGGTAAAGAGAAGATGTTCAAAGATTGTAGTTAATATAATTGAGTGCCTACTATGTGCCAAGAATTGGGCAATGTGGTTTGCATTCATTTTATGTGTGTGTGTGTGTGTGTGTGTGTATTCATTTTTTATATATATGCATATATATGTATATATATATATATAATTTGTATTTAAACACTTGTAATGAGCTAGGTATTTTAATCCTCATTTTACAGATAAGGAAACTAAGCAGTTAAGTAACACTGAAGTTCTCATAGATGGTAACTAGCAAAGTTGGTATTTAAACTCCCAAATGTGAATTTTAAATCTCTTATCAGTTTTATCATTAAGTTTTAAAATTATTAATACAAAGGGGGATTTATTAGACGCTAAGCCTCTCCGTGGCCCCCTCCCATTCTTCTCTAAATAAAATTGAGGACGTTCTGAAAAGCTGGGGCGGTCTAGACAACACAGAACCGCCACAATACCTGGGGGGGAAAGACCTTAAATTTAGACTTAGGAGTCTGACTAAAGACTCCGGGATGACTGATGCCAATCTTTGACCAGTGGAGCCATTTCACCCATTCAAACTAAAACCAAACCAGTTTCCTCCACGTGGGGAACACAGGAGGCATATTAGATATTCTTTCTTATCCTATGAGAGTGGCCAGCCAGGAAGAACAAGCAGATGCAACTATTCCTAAATGGAGGGAATGGAGCCATGAACAGAAGAAAAGGGAATGTTACTGGGCATCTATATACTTTGTGCCTATTCCAGAATCTTTATTATATCCTTAAAACAATTGTGTGAAATAGATATGAGAATCCATCTCACATATGAAGTATGTGTCTGTCAGCATTTGTTGGAAGTGTAATCCCAGCTCCACGTATAATCTGTTCTCTCTACAGTATAATGCATCAACTGTGTGGTGAATTCAGCAAGCATCAAATGAGCATGTTCTTCATACAAGGCACTGTGCAGGTGCTAAATTAAACACAAAGACTCTGCTTGTTTTAAGCAAGAAGTTTGAAGTCTAAATAAGGAGGCCAGCCTCTAGAAAAATACATTACCAAATAAAAAGTAGTAAGTGACCCAAAAGAATAACTAATGTATTATGGAGTTTAGAAGTATAAATTGTCCAGAAGTGGTAGTTCATGCCTGTAATCCCAACACTTTTAGAGGCTGAGGTGGGCGGATCACCTGAGGTTGGGAGTTCAAGACCAGCTTGACCAACATGGAGAAACCCCGTCTCTACTGAGAATACAAAATTAGCCAGGCATAGTGGTGCATGCCTGTAACCTCAGCTACTCAGGAGGGTGAGGCAGGAGAATCTCGAACCCGGGAGGCAGAGATTGCAGTAAGCAGAGATTACCGCATTGCACTCCAGCCTGGACAAAACTCCATCTCAAAAACAAAAACAAAAAAAACCGGGCATGGTAGCTCATGCCTGTAATCCCAGCACTTTGTGAGAGTGAGGTGGGTGGATCATGCAGTCAGGAGATCGAGACCATCCTGGCCAACCATGGTGAAACTCCATCTCTACTAAAAATAAAAAATTAGCTGGGTGTGGTGGCATGTGCCTGTAGCCCCAGCTACTCAGGAGGCTGAGGGAGAAGA